CGTATTTGAATTTGAACTAATTATACATTAATTATGTATGTTATCTTAATCATTTACGTTATAAATTATACATCCACGTGCAATATTGTGCATTTTGCTAAATATAATTAAGACATCATTACAAAATGATAGCATCAAGTAACGGAACAATATCACCATTGATATCTGACGCATTAAACGCAACTAAACAATAGCGCGTGGGTTGTAACCGATCATAATAATCTACACTAACATTTAGCACGATAATTAAGATTAAATTCAGTAGGATCACTCACTCATCCCAGAAGTTTTTCTTTCACGTAGTAAAAACTAAATGGTTCTGCCTCAAATGTTGTTTTATCCTACTGTTAATGTGATGAAGCAAATAAGGTGAATACCGTATTACGAAAATGAAACATTACTACAAATAATGTCACTCTCAATCTCCATTTCACAATGCAGTCCACTCAGAAATCTAATCCCCTTATTAAAAAATACATCACATAAGCCAGACATTGTGCCATCTTACGTGATGGCAAAAGATGACTTAAATATTGCAAGATTTGCAAAAAAAAATAGTTTTATGTGCATGTCATCGCAGCCATGCGACGTCCACTGCTAAACATAGGCCTTCCCCAATACTTTCCATGTTGCACGGTTGGTATCGTCACCAACCAAAGAGCCTTTTGAATCTCTCTGTGTTTTGGTATCAGTGGAGGCGCAATGAGCCCATAGGACGTCCACTGCTAAACATAGGCCTCCCCCAATGCTTTCCATGTTGCCCGGTTGGTATCGTCACCAAAGAGCCTTTTGAATCTCTTTGTGTTTTGGTATCAGTGGAGGCGCAATGATCTCTGACCTGGCCGACGCCAATCAATCAACTTGATCCCACTAAATACCGCGTCCCAATCTCCCGACTGCACAAGTCACGCGCAATAATGAGCTCTACGCCAGTGCCGAGTAAGGTCTCAGGTGCAGGGACAGGTGAGCATGCATTTAGTATTCCCATTGACGTGATTAATGAAACAGATCGCGCCGTACATGGGCAAGTGTCTAATCGGTACATTGATGTATTAGTAGAAATAATAGCGGTACGGTAATACTTTTTAAAGTGAAGTTGTGAACGTATTCATTAAATTGCTTGAATACACTTTGATACCTTCTTCTGCATAACACGCGTAAATCACATAGAACATGAGTGGGTTTGTTCTACGAGTAGGTTGATGTTGCTCGCCTTATGACATCTCCGCGCCATCTTTCCTTAAGTAATAATATTTTTCTCAAACGATTAGAGTAGGGTTTCTGATTTCTCGACTTATTTTTTTTTCTCGAGTTTCGGGAATTCTCGAGGCCAAAGTCTCGAGTTTTCTCGGGTCTCGAGTCTTTTAATTAAAACTGTTGAAATTGGTTGAAAGGACATTGTCAGAAACCGCCTAAAAAACCGCCCAAAAACATTAACCCATCATAATTATTTTCTATTTTTTTTAATACATTAAGCACCNAGCGATTTGAATCTTTTGAGGTGCTAAGGCTGATTCCAGCTGCACAGACGAGGTTGGTCCTTCTGGAATTCGGGAATGCGGATGTGACAGCGTTACTGGCAGCGACTTCTTGTGGTGTTATGTTGCACGACTTGCACGGAGTTGACATGGTGACGATGATTGATGATGATGACTCGGACGCGAAATTTTCTCTGCTCAATCGGGGTAACCAATTTGATTCCATGTCAGATGATGAAAGCTGGTGGAGGCTGATGCCGAAGGTGGTAGTGGGTGATGGAGGTTAGGTACGTCTCACATCACGTCGGTTTGGTACGTTTATCTTCGTCGTCGTTCGTCGGGCTTCGACTGCTTCTTCGACTTCGTTGGAGTCACCAATTTGTGTCAACTTCGTCGGGATCGTCTTCTTCGTCCGGTTCGTCGTCGGGGTCGTCTTCTTCGTCGGGTTTACCAATTTGTGGCAACTTCGTCAGGATCATCTTCTTCGTCGGGGTCACCAATTTGTGCCATGTTGGGAGACCGTATGAATGAGACACGGGTTGTAGTTAGTCTCTGATATTAATCTGTTTATTAATAGTAAGAATTTGCAAGGAAGTTTGTAAAAAGTCACTAATTAACACTTTGATTTGCTCGTTTAAACACAGTGAATGATTCAAATAGGTACATACAGTGAATGGTTCAATTACATTAAATATCTTTATTTATTAAATTTTCAATATTATTTACGAACAGCGCTATTCATAGTACATGTAATATTTTGTTACTAATTTACTAATGTTGTCGTTAGATGGCGTTTGACAGCTTTGCCTTCATGAATATTTACGTACCTCAAAATTTTTTGTCAGGCGCAAGAAGATTTTAACCAATGACGATAGATGGCGCTTTTGCACGTCTTATGAAAATCCTAAATATTTTACGGGACCCTATTTTTTCCAAAATAAAATTTAGCCTATGTTACTCGTGAGTTATGTAGCTTTCGAATGGTGAAAGAATTTTTAAAATCGGTCCAGTAGTTTTTGAGCCTATCCATTACAACTAAACAAACAAACAAACAAACAAACAAACAAACAAACAAACAAACAAAGTTTTCCTCTTTATAATATTAGTGTAGATTATATCCTCTGGATCAGTAGATAAGTATTTATTTGCAGTGTGAGGACCACTGTCATTATTCATGAGACACGAGTGAACTAAGTATAAAACTGCTTGTGAAAGAAGTCTGGTGGTAATTTACAATGCCTACTTATCCTTTGTAGCCGTTACGACTTAAACCCCTTGTTTATTATTGTACGTTCAGCTTCAAGGCCAAACAAAGTACATTGCCATAAAACAATCCTTTATAAAAAAAGATAAAACAATAATAAAAAGTAAATAAAAAAAAGCATAAATTAGTATAAAAAAGAATCGCCGGCGCAACTGTCAACAACAAGCCGTATTGACTTTGACTTTGACCGAGTTCAAAGACTAAAAGATATTATTTATACAGGGTCTCAAGAATAGGCCAGTAGAATTAAACACAAAAATTGATTAAATCGGAAATAATTCCTACAAAAGATTTTTTTGCTTTAATGGCTTCATTGGTTGCCCATTAAGACTCTCCTAAGTTTTCGACTTCGACGGAGTTGTGCTTAAGTGGTGGGGGCCCCCGAAAGGGGCGTTTTTTCGGTTTTCCGGTTATACCGCGTAAAGGATTTACCCTATCGAAAAGTGGTCTTCATAACGGTTAAAGGGCACTTAATCCTGCATTGAATAAGACCAAATTCATATGTTTTGGACAAACCGTCCTCGCGCTAAAGATCGGCAAAGTAGAAAATATACGTATAATTAACGACCCTCTCCACGTCCAATGGCTTGTTACCCACATGCTTCCAAGCCTTGTAAAGGGTTGCCTTAACCAGTGTAACCCTAACAAGGCTCACGAGTTTGATTCGCTTATCCTTGTTCGTCCCAGCCGTTCCTTAACTGCGGTTGCTGCACCTCTTCCTGGCACTTTCCTGAACGACTCTGTGTTACCTAATGTGGCTGCCCCTCTTCCTTGTACCCTCCTGTACGATTTTATTGCTTAGCCATATGCCTGGTCCAAAGTTCGACGCCACAAAATCAACTTCGTACGAGTGAAAATAGTTTAAATACTATTTCCCGTGCTTGCAACATTTTTCTTTACTGCTTCGCCTCTATTAGTCGTAGAGTGATTGTATATATCCTATAGCCTTCCTCAATGTATGAGCTATTCAACACAAAAATAATGATTTCAATCAAACTACTAATTCTTAAGTTTAGCGCGTTCAAACAAACAAACAAAAAACTCTTCAGCGTTTTAATATGAACTTGTTGTTGTTGATTTTTGGCGTCGAACCTTAGACCAGGCATACGGCTAGGCAACGTAGTCATGCAGGAGGATACAAGGAAGAGGGAAAAAACTAGAAAAAATGTTACTTTTATACAAAATCAAGTCGTCAGTTACCCAAATCGCAAGCAGAATCCGTTAGAAATAGCATAAAATGTTATTAATCGATAGTTTTATTTCTTCTTCTTCTTTTAATTCGTTTTAATTCAATTCAACAAGCATTCGCAACAGTCTCACCTTTTAATCTATCTAAGCCTTTAGTCATACTCTCTAATCTGTGGTCTCATCTGTGATTCGCAAGTGACATTGCTGCATTGACAGATGACAAAACGAATTATTTTCATTCAATCATTTTAGTTTTGTCATCTGTCAGTACAAACCTTCATAAAGATCAAATACACTGAATTGTCCCACCCGTGACATTGACAGGGGGCGCCACCGTCAATACCGGATCGCTGGTTCCGATTTTTGCCATGTTAGAAACTATATAGTTGAACGATGGTGGCGCCCCCCTGTCAATGAGTTTGGTGGGACAGTATAGTGTATAGTTCCAAAATACTGAACTGTCCTATGCATGACATTGACAGTGGGGCGCCACCGTCAATACCGGATCGCTAGTTCCGATTTTTGCCATGTTGGAAACCATATAGTTGAACGATGGTAGCGCCCCCCTGTCATTGAGTTTGGCGGGACAGTTCAGCGTGGGTCATCTATATTGAGTCTTTAATCGATTGACTTTTAACGTTCCATTTTACGTTATCTTAGATTAAATCATTAATTCGTTTTTATTATTGTATACCTACGACTTACGACATCAGTTAAAATTATCATTTTTACCGTAAAATACTCCCTAATGTATGCGTAATATAATATCAAAAACCTACCAATTAAAATTAAATAAATAATTAAATAAATAAATTCTTTATTGAATAACTTATTGACAGTTTTTAACAATAGGCTAATATTAAACTATAATAGGTAAAAGTACATACGTGCCTGAACTAAGAATTATAATTCCTGTATCTCAGGCAAAAAAAGGCTTACATTACTTTATTAATAGAACTATTTCTAGCAAAATATATAATCTAATATTTATACATAATAATATATAATTAAAAATTAAAATCTACACAAGTTACATTTAAGATTTAAAATCAATACGATGTGCTACATAATATTGCTTGTTCTACATACTTTATTAAAAACATCCAACATACAGTGTCTGCGTAAACAAAAATAATAAACTGGGTCACGCTCAATGTTGCAAAAATCATACAAGTTATTTATGTTTACTCTAGATATACTTAAATGCAATTCGGTTTGTTAAGGTAGATTTGATAAAAGGTTAGTGGGACAGCTCTATGATTAATTATGGAGTTATCTACTAGTAGGTACTAATGGTAAAAGTTAATTTATACAATCTAGGTAGTAAATTAGCTAATGATAAAACTGACACATCAAGACAAACATAAACTCGCAGGGGACGCTCTTAGGCGCCTTCGTAATCTATGGTGTTAATATATCTTTGTTCTGCTAGTTTCTTAGCAGGGCACTCAGCGTCACCTGTCTTGTGATTGTTGGGCTTTTTGAAGTGCAAGCAGGTCGCACATTTTGAGGGTTCATCCTTTTTATTGCAATCCTTTAATACGTGACCCACTTCTCCGCAGTGGCCGCAAGTGATATTAGCTTCACGACAGGTCTTAGCAGCGTGTCCATACTGCTGACACTTGTAGCACCTTGTCACTAGGGTAAAGTCTCTAACAGGGCACGATGACCAGTTCACAAAAACTCTGTCATTTGCTATCAAGGTCTTCCGTATTTGAGCTGTGACTTCAATTACATAATTACAGGTTTCGGTGTCTTTCCTCCCTGATTTATGGCTTAGCTTAATAGAGGACATGAACGCTTCCAGTGACGTATTTTGAAGTTTGTCGGCTAGGTTTTGATGGTATATGCATTTAAATACCTCAGTTTCATCCATGGAAGCAGGAACTCCCAGTACTATAATCCTGGGCTTCCGTTTCTTCGTCTCGTCTATGATGAGGCCTGATGTTCTTAATTGCGTTGACTGCTTTATCTTCTCGATGTCGTCTTTGGAGTTGGTGCTGATGATAACGCCGCCATCTCTAGTTTTCCGTAGACCTCTCACGTGCAATTTCATTTCTTCGGGCTTAATTATTTTTTGCACTAGGGACTTGGTTTCCTCGCTTGACTTCATTTTATCATTCGGGTAAATAGCTACAGAACTGAAGTTTTTGGGCTGAATAAAATTGACAGGACTCTTTTTAACCATGTCAGCAAAGGAAAACGCTCCCGAGATAGGTTTTGAGGTCACTTCTATGCTTTTCTTGAGGTCTTGAAGTTGCTGTGAAATGTCTTGACTTTCTTTAAGGACCTGTATGTTGCTATGAGCTTGAATGGCCTTTTGCTTCAGCGACTGGTATTGTACGGCCATTTGGGATGTTCCATTACTCACCCTTCTGCACAGGTTACTAATCCTCAGTTTCTGGTCAGTGTTGAGCTTTCCTTCCGATGAGATTATGCACACCTCATTCAGGCACTGCTCGATGCTTTTCATCCAGTTCTGGAGTTCTGAAGTGGCCACCACTTCGAGTGGTTCCATGACGGGGGCGGCGGGCGGCGCGTGCTGCGTGGGCGTGGGCGGAGGGCTGCGCTGCGTGAGCGCACTCCGGTTGAAGGGACTTCCTTCCATATTATCAAGTCTATACACAAATCATTATAAGTTCAGTGTTCAATTAGAAATAAATGACACAGATAAAACACTTCCGAGTTTCGATAATGTAGGTCGCGATTTTGCTAGTGAATAGTTAAATTAAATATTTATTTTCATAGCGCTGACACGTCCGATCGAGTGAACGGCACAAACTCACAATGTACAACTCTGTACAAACTTGGGCCCAAAATGGTTGTTCTCCTTTAGATTCTTTATGTCAAGGAGTATCCAAACCCCATGTACGAGTATGTTCCTCCGATTTTGCTCAGTTTAGGAGAGAATTTTGTGATGTTGTTGTGTGTTATTCCTTATCTTCGAAAGGTAAAAAGGTACTCACTCACTTTTGCTGTCCCACCTGGGAATCTAGTCCTCTTTATTAACAGATAAAACAAACCTATTTAAATACCGTCTCATTTTCATCCTCTTTAATGTTTGACATCATAGTTGAGTTCATAGCAAATAACAAGAAGTGTACGATTCTTTAGTATAAAAGAAGTTTTAATTAAATCGTTCTATTAGTTAAGGGTAATCGCACATTTGCTACTTTAGTATCGAGGATATGCGATTCAGTCGCATCTTCCTTTGAAACTTTACAAGGTATTTATTTACGATATAATAAAATGCTCCCATTTCGAATCCATCCATATCCACATTAAGAAACGAAATGGAATACACACAATTTTAATCCCGAAAGTTAAAAATTGTCATTGTAGTAAAATGACTTCTGTGATACTGTGAAAAATAGAAAACACATAAGAGAGTAAGAGCAACATAGGAACGAATAAAATTTATGTAGTGACCTGTGGTAGTGACCGTCTCTAGAAGTTGAAGTAGCGTGTGCTATTATGACCCTTAAGGCACGCGCGCAAGGGTGACATTTTTCACCGTGACAGTATGACTGTCTCTCCATTGTTTCAGCCAAATGACGTTCACTGCTGGACAAAGGCCTCCCTCAAGGATTTCCATAGCGACTGGTCCTGCGCTGCCTACATCCAGATTCTTCCCGCAGTCAGTCTACCTTGTGAGGGTTTGCCCAAATGCCCACGCAACGTCTTCCAGCCCGTGGTCGGCGAGTGTAAAGAGAGATGTACTGTCACGGTGACAAAAAATCACCCATGCTCGCATGGCCTTAAGTTAAACGAAATGAAGACTCAGTGAAGGCAGAAAGCATTACACTCCCAGATACTGCTTGTTACAAAACTTAAACGTTATTAATCTGCTCAAACTCATTACTTGAAAGCTTCGCGTTTAATGAATTGAAATGTTTCTGCTACTTAGACGACATGCTGGTTGAATATAAATCACGTCTTGTTCAAGAACAGCTTCCATTAAGTTTGTACTATCAATTTGCGGGTTTAGAGGCTTTATAGAACAAATGAAATACTCCAAGGAGCCAATACGTATAGTTACTACGGCTTTTCATTTTACTTATTTTATACTCAAGAACAAGAAGTAAAGGGAAAAAAAAAATTATTGTTACTTAACACTTAGGTACTTACTCGTACCTACAGTCAGCGTCAATAGTTCATGACACTCAAAGTAGCCAAAAAGATGTCAACGTAACTTTATTCTTTGTAACAAAAACGTGTTGCGAACTTTTTGGGTGTCACAAACTATTTGACGCTGACTGTACAAGCAACATAAATACAATTGATACTTTGTTGTGCAATTTATATGTATACGTATTATTATCACCTTATATAAAGTGCATCGTGTAGTTTATTGTGTGTTGATACGACCTTCGTAATAACCATTATTTTGTTGGCTACCGTTATTTTCCTCTTGTGCAAAGTCGTAACAGACACCATTAAACTACTAACATCCAATTAAACATGCAGCACTTAATATATCTATTTCATGTCTAAGCCACAGATAACATAATACGCTAGTCTAGCGCTTAAGTCATTCAGTGCCTGAGGTAACTATGGGAACGGCACAAGAGGGTGTTTTAGAGACGTCAAACGGCTGCGAGACTTCAGATAAGCTTCAGATTCGTATGCTCTATCTAAATATATAAAAGGAGAAACTGACTGACTCACTGACATATCAACGCACAGTCTAAACGGCTAAACGTAGGCACTTGAAATTTGGTAGGGACGTAGCTTAGGTACCGTAGAGGTACACTAAGAAAGGAATTAGCGGTAAAATCCTTTTGTATGAAAAATCCAAACTGCTTAAGTTAGACGCTTGAAATTTGGCATGCAGATACCTTAGTAAACTTAAAGCTTAGTTACAACAGGATATTGCAAAATTCCCACGGGAACGGGAGTAGTTACTAGCGGGAAAAAAACATTTGTATGAAAAAATCTAAACCGCATAAGATAGATGAAGGGGGTAAAACGGGATCCACGCGTACGAAGTCGCGTGCGGCCGCTAGTTACGTCATAATATCAATGTCACAACCCCTTCGGTGCCGCTACTATAAGCTCAGGTACTGACTAAGTTAAGCGATAAACCTATAGTCATAAACGAAGCAGGAAAATCCTAATTAAGTACCTACTAATAGTTTATAAGTTATCAGACAAAACAGAAAAAGAAAAACAAGAAAAAAAAAACAAAGACGTATTAGTAAGTACGTAAGCAAGTATTTAAAAAAAAGAAAAAAAAATAGTTTTGAGTTACGCCACTCCTAATAATAAGGTATATCGTCAATAACATAGTTAGATAAGGTTGTTTGCTAACTATAGACAGTGTCAAATAGGTAGTTTGTGACACCCAAAGTGGCCAAAAAGTTAAAAAGACGAATTGCGAACTTTTTGACTACTTTGGGTGTCATGAACTATTTGACGCTATGTACAAAGTGAACATGTTTAAAAACAATGAGCATATCATTTTCCCTGGATAGTGGCCGTAGTGGTTACCTGCTTTATTAGTGTTTCGTTTCAGCCAAATGACGTCCACTGCTGGACAAAGGCCTCCCCCAAGGTTTTCCATAAGGAACGGTTTTTAGTGTAGTATGTGTACGCGCCAAACCTATATATTTGACGCGTACACATACTACATTAGTGTTTATTAACAGGTAAATATAAACCTTACTATAATAAATGTAGTAAGTATGCTGTGGTTAATTTACCGGGTCGCTGCTACTTCGAGAGCCCGAAGCAAATGAGTGTGGACACCTATAGTCTATCCAATATAGCTTGATTAGAATGACAGCTGCCATCAAAAGTAACGACATAACTTTGTAGTAGCGATCAATGAGAGCTAAATATTGGCGGACAAGAAATAATTCACGTCTGACCTACAAACAATATTTTCGACGACAGTGCTTCCAATAAAAATGTTAATTTCGTGTAAATGCAGCGTTAAATTACACCAATAAGTAGTAATTCGAAATTATCGAAGAAGAANCCTAGATTAGAGGCAATTAAATGTCTGCCGATCCGTTAAGATTTCTTAATTTGAAATGTTTGTCATGTATAACACGCTTTTCTCCTTCACTGACTGCACGAGATAAATGTAAGTGAGATTCGTGTCGGGGCAGCAGCCAACGTGCCAACGGCGATAAGACAAATGCGAAATAAAGCCAGTCGGTTTAGGACGCCTTATTTGGAGCGATGCTGTTTATCTGCTCAGGGTTCATGGATTTGCCTTTATCTCTTTTTAATTCATTTTAAATAAGACTTCAAGATTAAAGACATAAACAAGCATTAGCTAGGAAATTTTTAGTGTCGAAAGGGAATTGGGCATAGCTTTTTTTTGTGTAGGTGCTGTCTAGGGTGACATATAGTATCTATAAGAAGCAAGAGAAAATTGCAAGCTCATGCTTTTCATGAAATTAATATGAATATCATCATTACTCGTTCCTTAGGTAGGTAGGCTGTTTTCAAACTTAGTTACTCTTTGAGAGAATACTAGCTATATGCCGAAGTTGAAAGCTCGCAGTTAAGCCCTTACCTACATTCCGAGCGACACTAATGAGAATTCTAAGATGGGCTCTAGTGTGTGCGTTGCGCAGCACGCATGTTGATGGATGGTGCCCTCTATCGAGTGTTTACGAAACTATCCGAGAGCCTATCGGAAAACAAAAACATTCTCGATTTGCAAAGGCATTAACAAGAGGAGTGGAATTTGCATAAATTTGCGTTAAGTAAATGGGACCCCTTGACAAGTTTAATCTTGTCTTCACAATTTATTGCCTCCTACTGCCGGCAGCCTTCTGGCCTTTGCTTAAATAAATATTTGTATTTAGTTAAGTTAGAGAACTCATGAGTGATTACTTTCAGCAAACAGTTTTCTATTGCTCTAGTTTTCAGGTGGTCCCTTTGTGGTCTACCTCAATGATTTAACTCTACCAATTTAAATGCTAATCTGCATCTGTATAAATTATACTTGCAAAATTATTTGACATAGAATATTTTAATCAAAGATATTTTAGTTACTCCATCACTCAGTTTGAAGATACTTAACCAAAAAGTAAACGGTTTCAAAGGAATTTTAATAAAACCCTTATGACTTCAAAATCCGCTGACCGCTGAGATAGGAACGTAATACCTTCGTGGGTCAAGTTAAAGAAAACGATACAAGCAGTAAGATTTTTAAAAGAAAAAAGAAAATGTTGATTAGAAATTTTACTGCAGTGAAAAATACTTTGCTAAAGCTTATGCCTTGTTTAAAAAACATTTATAAAATATATACTCTGAGTGGTCAATCTCAAAATGGCTACTGAATTAGATATTTTTTATTAGTCAGCACTCACAATTATTAGCTTTGCAACTGCACATGAGCTCAACATAATGTTATGATTACATGTTGGTTTCTTGTAACTTGAACCACGGTGTTCTTAACTCTCAATTGTACCCCGGCCCCGGCAGCCCTGAACTGAAAACTAACAATGTACTGAGCCCGCCGCATCACGAAAATGTGAAAACTTCCTCTAAACTAGCCGTTCTTTAACTTTGCCCCGGTATTCGGCTACCTATATTTTGTTGCTTTGAAGCTTGCAGCTCGATTTAAGAGATGTATTGGCTCTACTTTCGTCACGTTTGGGAGCAGTCAATTTGTTTTCTGGAAATTTTCATCACTTCTTTTCGCTGGTTTTTTACTGGTCTACAAAGTCATTCACGTGATCTAATGACTTAAATCTAACAAGAGTTTTAGTGCTGAAAACGAGTTTCCTTTTCGAAAGAGAACTTTATTTGGAGCTTAGCAGTAGTAATATGTAAAATGCACTTTGGACTTGCGTTGTTATACGATGTACAAATTTAATTACCTAGGTAGCCATTGAGCCGAGGATTGTGTCACAATAGTGCGGCTAATGTCTTGCCGCTTCCCGCGCGGGCCCGGCGCAATCAGCCGGCTGATGACATAAACAACCACTTCCACGTTTGAGCCACGCGTGCCACTAGGGTTGGCTACCAAGGAAACAAGGCAACCAACTAATCGATAGTTATGAAATAATAAATTTTGGCTACCAAAGAAGAGTCGAATTCAAGGAGCCTACGAACATACATAATGGTTTACTTATCTCAGGACTGTAAGTAAGTATGTACTTTCAAAAACGTTATTTAGCTAAGTAAATTCATACTTTATACTTTTTACTGCTATTTAACATACTATAACCTTGTAAAAATAAAATAATCGTCTTTAAAAACCTTTTATCTGAACGCGAGACTTGGAGCAATTCACTATTGTTTATTTCAACAAGCGCTAATCGTCTTCATCTTTCCGACCCCACAGAAGTGGAAAAGTGTAATTCCACTTAATAGTTGTAGATGGCGGTTATCTGGCGACCACAAAAACTTCCCGCTTTTAATTACAACGGCTCGAATAAAGATAAGAATGCAAAGTTCTCCGGAGACGTTGGTGGCCTCACTGTCACGGGCAGCCATGCAACTTTATGTTTCGATATTACATAAATTAGGGCTCACAGTTGAAAAGGTAGATAATAGTTTACAAAATTAAGATTTCATTTCCATTCGAAAGAAACATTTCTTATAGAGAGAAGTAAAAAATAAAAGCCGCACGTCGTGTAACGTCACACGCACGTTACTAAAGTATTAATAATGCAGTAATTACTAATTTTATAATTTGTCAAAGTTATGACATCCGCTGTGACCCGCGCCAGGCCCCGAACATAGTTCCCGATACGATCTGCCCAGAGCCGCGAGAGCCGTGACCGTGACGTCACCCGCGTTACAAACGAATTAATATAATTTTAACGCCGCTTCCTCCACATAAATTACTCTTATCACAACGCTTTTTTCTGAGCACTTCTGTAATGGAGAGCTCTTTGTGGGATTATTTATGGCCTATTCTTGCCGTTTGCATGATTTGAATTTAGTGTAATTTCCTTTATGTTTCTTGGTCGGAAATTTATTTATGATTTTCGGGAAGACAATGTGGATTTTATTATGTTAATGCCGTTATTATGAGGATGAATGGAGATAATGGGTTTGATTTCTATCTAATAATTGTTAGTGATGAAAATTACATTCTACAGGCTCTGCTTAGCATTTTGAAATTTAAAATGATCAACGGCCTCATTTTCTATCTCATAAAATAAAATAAAAATTCTATCTATCTATCTATGTCAGCCTTTGGGTTCGCCTTCGAACATAGGCCTCCTCTTCAACCCTCCACCGTTTTCTGTCCCTGGCCACACGCATCCAGTTCACTCCAGCCTGCTGCCGGATATCATCTGTCCATCGTTTAGGCGGTCTTCCCCTGCCGCGGGTGTTGTTGCGGGGNATTTTTATGAATAAAGATATGAAGAAAAATTGGGTGCATTTTTTTATATCATTTTTTCGAAAACTTATCGATACATCTATGTGAACCGTACGAAACATACACAGCACTAGTCACATTCGTTTGACAGCCGTCATTCTAATCAAGCTATATTGGATAGACTATAATTATAGGATAAATCAGTTTTACCTGACTACGGTCTCTGTGTCAATAAGAACGAAACAAATTAATTGAGTTTCGAGTGTATTGATTGTGTGAGTTGATTCAAAATTGGGCGTGAAGTTTGCCTGAAAATTGTAGGTAGGTGCCACTTTTAGGCGCTTATCAAATTAATACCTACTATACATTCTAACCGGCACGCGACAACCTGGAAATCATTGGGAAAGTC